CATTAGTCAAGTTTTCTGTTCTTTGCAAAGGAAAATAAAGCGATACTTAATCAGTGATCTTCTCCCTTCCCTTCTTTCTCTTTTCCCCTAGATTTTCCTTTCCTGTTCTGTTATTCCCAAGTTTCAAGTTTTTAATTTTTTTCTTTCTATTCTTTTCTAATCAGTTCTTTATCTTCCAATTGGATAGAATGAATGATCTATTCACATGACTTCCAGTGTTATCAGAACTGTAAACATGCCCGAACTCCTGAATTTCCTACTCTTCAGAACTTTCTTTTCACTTTTTACCAAGACTTGAAATATGAGACGCCGTTTCCTATTTTCTTTCCCTTGTACCCCTTTCCCAAAATAATAGGTTGTTGAATTTTAGTCTGAATTTGTAATATCTTTTGCAGCTGTTGCGTCGTTCGTTTCCTATAGTAGCAAGTTGTGGCAAGAGCAGTTTGACTCAGCCCAAGTTTCTACCCACCAGTGTTACCCGGTCCTAGAGTTCAGTTCCTACTAATCAAAGAATTAAAATGCAAGCCATTTCTGTCTGCTTATTTAAAGTTTGTTTGTTTGTTTGTTTTTTCTCTGAAGCACCACTCAACTAACCAGAACACCTTAGCCAGAACACAGGGAAGATGGTACTCTCAGATATGATGTGGTCATTGTTAAGTTGGTAGAATAATTTTGAACAATAATCTGGCAGTATGTTTCTAGAACAGTAAAAACAAATTCATAATCTTTGTTTTGGGAACAACTTAGAGGAGACTATCTAAAAAAAATTTTTTTTTTTTAAAGAAAGATGCCAAGATAGTCACTATAATCTAAGTATAATTGCAAAAATTTGGAGAAAATTCTTGTGGTGGGGATAAGTTAAATAAATAATGGCAATTCACTACTAGGACAAATAATGATTATGATGACTTTATATCAAAATAAAAGATATAATAAATTACAATAAAATTATGAACCCCAAGTCAGAAAAGACAGTAGTTACCCCTGTAGGGATAGGAGAGGGATGTGACTGGGATGACCAGAGTGGGGGCTTTGAGTATTGGAAATATTCTATTACTTAAGCTAGGAAGCCACAGGAATGTGCCTTAACATATACATGTTATATATTATTTTACACACATGACATAGTTCATATTATTAAAAAATAAAAATGTCTTTTGAAGACATTTTTAACCTCCACAAAGGCTCTCTCCACTCTTCTTAGTGTTACCTAACAGATACAACTTTATCCAGAGTATTGTAACTGTATTTTATATTATAGTTATTCATTACTTTTATCTAAGCTCATCTTCATATGGTTATAATACTGAGGCCAGTGTCTTGTATATAGCATGAAATTAAAGTGGTATTCTGCAAACTATGTACACTTTAGCTGAATTAAATTATTTCCATGGGGCATAATTTCTAATTATAAAAATAAAAAAGGCAAGGATAGCTATATTTCAAATCTGATAATGCCTCAATTTGTTATATTTTAAAAATGCAAATTATCTGTTTATTACATATCTCTAACATTTGCAATCTAAAGACTTGCAAAGTGCCTCTTTTTTTTTTTTTTTAAGATTTTATTTATTTATTTGACAGAGAGAGACACAGTGAGAGAGGGAACACAAACAGGGGGAATGGGAGGAGAAGCAGGCTTCCTGCAGAGCGGGGAGCCTGATCCCAGGACCATGGTCATGACCGGAGCTGAAGGCAGATGCCCAACGACTGAGCCACCCAGGCACCTCACAAAGTGCCATTTTGAAAAACAACTTTCCTATGAATTTTCACTCTGGTTATGAAAATTAAATTTTTATTTAATACAATTCTACTTAAAAAATGAAAAAATAGTATAATTGATTGGATCATTTTTAAATGATTAAATATGATAGGGACAACAAAATTAGATAAACGTGTTCCAAATCTGATACATTTCTGTATGTAAAAACTTCTAATTTAAAAGAAAGTTGCCAGAATCCATGTTCAAAAGGTGTTTATCAACACATTTCAGTTTTGCTTGTTGTTTTTAATACGTGCCCCCAAATGGAAACTCAGGTTTTCAGCTATATTGTGTTTTAACATATGTCACTCCAATTTTGTATGTTATTCTAATTGGCTCAACAACCATTTCACTAATCACCAACCATGTACAAAATACTGTGACGGGGAAAGGCTAAAAACATGGTTAAGGTGCAGCTTCAGTTCTCAAATGGGTTACCTGTCTAGGAGAGCCAATAATATTTAATGAAAGCAGGAAGGTGAAAGTACCCTAGTGATAAGTGAGGGAAATAACACTTGCTGGATGCCTACTTGGGCAAGGTTATCTCCTGCTGTGTATCTCATACTGGCCCAAGTGAGGACCCAATAAACGTTAATCCTTCGACGTATGGGGAATATCATTTAAATGGGTGGAAAAAATGGAGAATCAAAAAGGTGCTCTTTCCATCACATTAAAAGAAGCCTCAAGGGGAAGATAATTTTGTGGTGAGGGGGTGGGATATGTATATCTGTGTGTGGGGTGTCATGGAATCATTTTGGGAAGATTCCACAGCGATAATGGGGCGGGGGGGGGGCGCGGGGCGGTGAACCATCTATTAAGGCAGCTAGGAAGGATAGGGCATGGCAGGGTGTCCACCTGGGTTTGAAGTCTGAAATACATGAAAATCTACGTGAGGCCCTCAAATGTCATGGTTATTGTATTGATGCTAATTTGTGTCACTTTGGGTTTTTAAATGTAAGTATGCTCTAATTAAGGCTTTGCTGGAGGTGAGGTGGAATGGACCTGAGGGAAGGAGGCCAGAGTTTCAGAGCTGCGGGTGGGGGAGTGGGGGGGAGGGGAAATGGGGAGGGGGGGTGGGAGTAGGAGCGCTGCAGGAGACTTGACTAGAAATGACTATGCAGGAGCTTGGAAAAGAAGAGATATGTCTGAGAGCGCAATAAAGATATTTAAGCTAGAAGGACCCAAAACTGTATTGATTGCAACAAAACAAAGTTATAAAATGTCATTTTCCTCTAATTTCCAGACAGCTCCTCACTCAAATCAAAACATGTTGTTTACCATGTAATCACATAATATCACCAGCTGTTTGCATTCCTAGTAAGGCATTTTACATGCCTTTCTCAAACTCAAACAGGAAAACTTCCTTTTGCAGAACATCATTGCCAAAATACGACATGTGAAAAAAACGGGCATGGAAACCTGACAATACACGTTCACTTCTGACCCCAGGGAAAGGTCAAGACTATAGTTTAAGATTTATTTAAAGCTTTGGAAGTCACATTTATTTTGACTTTGAATCGAGTCTAGTCTTTCAACACAGCTTCTACTTCTGAAAATGGACTCAATTTTCCCCCATCCCTGCCTGAAATTATATTAGTGTTAAATCATCCATGCGATCCTTGGCGTCACTAATCCAAAGGCTTAAGAACTTTAAATATACACAGATACTGAAGAGAGTCTTTACCTTAGAGAAATCAGGGTGTGGTACAGATAATACTCTTAATATTGTAAAAGATTTTTCTATCATTGACACTAATTTTTCAGAGTATTACCACTGGTGAAGTATAATTAAGAAGATCTGACAAAAAGTTTGCAGGTAGGTTAACATTTATTTTTACATTAACAACTTAAAATCTCTAGTTGTAAGTTCTGCCTTATCATTTACACTGAGTGAGATATTATTTGCCTGGGGGTGTGTGTATGTTCTTCTCTTTTCTGGGACAAGATGTTAGGTAAAAGAATACCAAGTTTAAAAAACTCAGAATACCAACCTCTAGCAGCCTTGTTAATCCATCTTTTGGTACTTGTAATAATGAAGACTAAGTAAAAGAAGTATATGCATTTAGGAAAATGAGTCATCTTTGACCCAAATTATCTTGGTTTTAAACAGAATTGAAGTACCATAAAAAATGGCATATGAAAGATACTTTCAACCCTGAAATTTTATGATTCTGTAATTTCAAAACATTCTTGTATCCGGTCAGAATTATACATTCCGGTGAAAAATTTTGACATGTTTACATTCTCTGACTTTTCATATCCCTGCACACAAATGGAAGCGAAGGGTAAGGGACAAAATGTAAAGATGCGCACATATTTTTGCTAGGCTATGTGTACTATTTTTCTACCTTTTCCCCTTCTGTTCACACGTTAGTTGGTTTAACGCTAAGTTTGATACAGGGAATGAGTAAATGAACTGAATTGGAACTTCAGTTCATATACACAATTGTATGTACAGACACACACACATAATTTACTCCAGTATCCTAACTCTCAGTGATAACCATCTTCTTTATTCTTTGGTTTTGCTCTTCCCCACCCATCCCCAGATCATACAATGAAGTGATTCTGCCTTTTAAATTTGTATCTTTCTTCTTTCTTCCTTTCCTCTAAATCTGGGGAGTTGCCTTAATCGAACATTTCTGTTCTTTCTTATCTGTCAACAATTAAAAAAAAAATTTGGCAAGTACTTCCCCCCCTAATATTTGATGTACTCCCTTCTTTTAACCACATTACCCAGATTCTGGATATTAACACCAACCTTCCCCTCATGTCCTTATCTCTCCGGAATGGAGTCTTGTACTTTTCGATCTTTTGTCATTCTATTTACATGCCTCTGGCTGTTGCCAAAGGAAGGGAGTGCAGCTTGGAATGCTTTTCCACGTGCAGAAAAGCACTTGCTACAGAACATATATATGGTCGGTCCGCCACTCAGCTTTGAGAAAGAGCTGTTAGTACAAGAACTGCCACAATGACATAATTTCTTACAGCATCCTTCACTCTTACGGTTAAACTCACTTCCTTCACTCCCTGCCCCACCTAGAGGGAAACTTCACAGTGTTTCTAGTAGAGGCAAGTTTTTCGTTTAAACACTGCATTTGTTGATATTCTACCGTTTTCCAAACATGCCTTTTCATGCTTCTTCCAGATGTAGGGCAGTGTAAGGGGCTGTTAACCGCGATCAGACCAGGGGGTGGGGGCCGAAGCCGCTTTCCCCAAATAGAGACCCCACCCTGCAATGGCCCCTCCGCCTCCAGGTCCCATTTTCCTTCGGGGTTCCCGATTCCTGCCGCACCCAAGCCTTCAGATGTGGGCATCCCTCGCCTTCCTGCTCTCACAGCTTTCGTCTTCTAAGACGACTTTGCTTAAGGAGTGGTCTGTGATTTTCACACACTGTCACACTTAGGCCATTTGTTGTTCTTCGGAACCCCGAGAGCAGGGCAGAGCCCTCCTCTCAATACTGTCGGATGTCTAAGAGGCAGGCCCACTGACTCGTCCTGTGAGGATCAGAAGTGGGCTGTGGACTCATCGTCCAGGCTGGACCACCTTTCCCATCATTCCTCGTGTACAGATTGTGGCAGGTGGCAGAGACCGCACCAGGCGGTACCCTGCCTTTGTTTTCATTAATAACGCACACCGGGCCTTTAGAGATGTTTGGAAAATGCCACACAAAATGTAGAACACGGCTTTTCCTGGCTAGAAGTCGTTCCTTTGCTCTCATTTCCTGTTTCTCGGCCTCTCCCTTGTTTCTCTCCCCACCCCACTTGGTGCCACATTACTTCAAATCTTGCTCTCCTAACATAAACTTCCCCTTCGCAGCCTTCCCACCGCCGGGGCGGTTTCCCGCGCGGGGCGGGCTCAGGGGCACCGCGCAGGGGTGGCGGCAGGCCCGGGAGCCCCAGCGCGCTCACCTAGGTTTGCAAGAAAAGTGGCGCTCGCATCTCCACCGCTGACCGCCGCGCCCCACCAGCCCTCCTCCCCACCCCGCCCGTTCGCTTCCGCCCGGTCTCCTCCCCGCCCCCGCCGACCCACCGGCGCGGCGCTGACCCCGCGCCCTTCGAGCCGCGGCGGGAACGGGTGCCCCGCCGCTGCCTCCTCTCTCCCGCCCCAGAATCCCGCGGATCCGCTCCCCCGGGCGCGGGGGCGGGGAGGGAGGGGCCGCTCGCTTCTCGTGCCTCCCTACTGGGGCACAGGGTCGGGGGCTGGACTCTCCGACACCGCGGGCCCCACAGCCCTCGGGGCCCCGGCAGGGGTCTGCAGCTCCAGCTTCCTTCCGCTGCTGCAAGTTCGCCTGCTTTCGCGAATAACTAACACGGGCTGGCGCCCCTTCTGCCGGGTTTCCCAAGCGAGGCGCGCGTCTTCCCCCGCCCCCATCCATCCCAAGGTGAAGCACCGGGAGGGAGGACACCCCCGCTTCGCCAGCAACGTGCGCCGCTCCCGAACCCAAACAATGATCCCGCTTCCTTCCTCGCCCAGCCCTCCTCCCGCCCCACCCCCCGCGCGCACCCCAGCATCCAGGGCACCGCCCGCCCGGACTGCCCCTGCCCGGACCCCATTGTTGCCCGACCCAGGCGATGCCCGGCGCCCGGGGGCGGGCCCCGGGAGCAGCCGCGCCGCCGCGCCCGCAGCCTCGGCCGGCCGCTGGAGCCGGCTCCGCCCACACCTTTCCAAGTTAGCTGGCGGGTGAGCCGCGGGGACGGCTCGGGCGCCCGGCCCCCTCCCTGCACGCCCTCACCCGGGCCGGAGCGGGGAGGGGGCGGGGGGCCGAGTGGGCTCCGCGCTCGGTTTGCCTCCGAATTCTCTTCCTAAGGCTGCCTTGCGCGCTCTGACACAAAAGAGGGGACTTTCTCGCGGCTCAGCGCGAGTCCTCGCCTGGCGAGTTGCAATCCGGGGGCTCCACCCTCCGCGAGGCCCCGCGGGCCCCCCTCGGCCGGCGGCTCCCAAAGCTCCGTTGGCCATGTGTAGGTTATTTTGGGTGCCGCAGCAAGGTGGTGCAGGTGAAAGGGAAGCTCGGCGGGGGCGGGGGGCGGGGGGGGGGGGGGCGGGGGGGGGGGGGGGGGGGGCGGGGTGGAGGCTCCGCGGACCCACCCCCCAGCCCGGCGGCCCGGGCGGCGAGGCGAGGGCCGGGCAGTGGGTGTTGCCTTCTACCTCTGCGAGCAGGGAGGGGTTAGTTTCCCACAGGGGATTTCAACCATCACACTCTGAGCCCGCCTCCTAATCCTCGGGCGGAGCGGCTCGGGGGCCCCATTTTATGGCAATAAAGCGACTTAGCGCCTGCTGAGCGAGCCCCTCCCCGCCGCCGCCCCCGCCCTCGGCCCCACCCCGGGGCTCGCCCGCAGCGGCGGGGCTTTGTTTCTGGGGAGGAGGACCCGGAGCTCTTTTGTTTGGGGGTTTGGTGTTTTCACCCCCCCACCTCACCTCACCCCACCCCACCCCACCCCCCGCGCCTCTCCGGTTTCCTGAGCTGCGGGCTGCAAGGGAGGAGAAGCGGCGTCTTGCAACCCCCTCGGCTGGGCCCCGGGGTAATTCGATGCGGGCCTGGCGAGGCTCCCCACGCTAGACCGGGGCTCGCGTCTCGGCAGCCTCCACCCACCGGCCCACCCTACATTTAGCGCATCATGTGATCCGGGTAAGTCATTTGCAAGTACAACAGTTCCCTGGGTTGCCCCCCATTCATTTCCTGAGAACTGCAGAGAGCAGCTGAGAGGCTCTGCCTGTGCGTGTGCGAGTGTGCGTGTGAGTGTGCGCGGGTGACGCCGTGTGTGTGCGAGAGTGAGTGTGTGCGCGCGCGTGTGTGTGCGAGAGAGAGAAAGGGAGAGAGAGGGGGACTCTGTGTGAGGGAAAGAAAACAATTTCTCCTGCTCTGCAGCTTCTGTTCAGGTCTGTGCCGATTCCGTTTCTTATCAAAATAAACAACCCCCTCCTTTTTTTTTTTTTTTTTTTGCCATCCCAAATCAGACCGTATTCTCTTAACATGTTTTATTTTCCTTCTGTCATCTGCTCAAGTTAAATCATTTTGGTTGGTCTCTGTTCTTAAAGGGGGAAAGTGTTGGGAAGCGGGAGGGGGCCGAGGGAGGGCGATGCTATTGCAGAGCAAGTAGCGTCGGTCGGATATGTGGAGAAGAAAGAAGGACGTTTCTCCCCCCCACCCCCAAATTCTTCTTCTTTTTTTTTTAAACTTATCAAGTACCGTGAATTAAGCAAATGTTTTTCTACCCCTAGTGGAATTGTTGGTTGCAGTGTTTGGCTGACAGTTGCCAAGGATGAGAAATAAAACACCAGGGCTGAATGGGGGGGGGGTGTTGTGGAAGTAGTTTGCCCCCAGGAATAGAGCGAGTTCGGAGAATAGCCGCCGCACCGGGGCTGTGTGGGCTGTGGGTGTGCACCGGAGAGACTGGAGGGGAAAGGGTTAAGGCGGAGATGACACTGCTGGCATGAATAGTGGTCCTGGTGCTACATTCATTATTGTCTCTGGTCGTAATGATGTGTAACTGTCACTTGCTACGGTGCCTGGTCCATGGAAGTAGCCAGGGGCTGGCCCGTGGCTGTTATTTTCAATTACGGGGGAGCCGGCCGGAGTTGACAAGGGGCAACTTTGCACGTCCACGCGAGCCGGGAAGCCCGCGGAGACGGCCTGGGAGCCACTTCTTGCCTTAGAAGCTCGCTCCCAGGACTGGGACTTGACCTCCGCGACATTAGTTGGTGTTCATGTTAGATGCTCCCCTACGGGGAGAATCAATCCTGCTTTTGTTGGGTAGAGAACTGCCTATTAGAACTTTGAAAACTTTTATCTTTGGGGAAAAGGGTGGGGTGCACTCAACAGTTCTGTTTCGAAGTGCATTTGAGGCAAACGCTTGGAAAAAGTACTAATTCCTTTGTTATATGCCCTGCAGCTTCCCAACCCCCTTCACCCTGCGCTTCGAGTTTTGCATACTTTAATAGTAATACCCTTAATTCAGCTGATAAAAACTGACTGTGTTGAGTTAAAGAGTATTAGTACAACGGAATGTGTAATCTGGATAAACAGTTTGTATGGTTAATATTGTCAGCTCTCTAATTTAACCGTACAGATTTTAAGTATCGTTCTGTATGGATTGTTTTAAGCAATTCCACTGGCTAATAGAATTCTCCGCCGAGCACTCGGGTATTTTATTTTAAATCAGCTTTAATATTCTGTTTCTCAGTAACACTGGGGAGGTGAGCAGCTCTATTTACATTTACTGCAAGTGCATCCAGTGGCTTCAGTAGACATCTGTCAATCAAATAACGTCATTCTGCAAATCCACGAAGACGCCTGCAGGCCCTTTTCTTACTGGAGGATAGAGTTGTTTGGATAAGTAAATGCTTTGAAATAAATTTGGTGGCTTTTAACAGGGCGCAGCTCGTGATGGGAATAGGAGTGGTCACTTTGAAGAGTGGGTGTATTCCATCATCTAAGAAATGCTCTTTGGAATTGGCATTTAATAAAAACAGCGACACCCTTTCCCCCCCCAGGAGCCGGGCTGTGCTGTTTGTAGACCTCATTCCCATGTTGTTTACATTTGTTTAGAACCACATAAAAATTGGTTGTGATAAAGGGGTATACTTCCAGGCTAGAAAATGTTTAACTGTGGAAGCTCAGTGGACATGGGATGTTGAAGGACAAACATTTCAGTTGCATAAGTTGTATCTCTTGCTGCAGGCTGGTCAATGTGAAGACTAGCTTGAGTCTGGTAAGCTGCTTTGGGTTGGGGAGAGAGCAGTTAGAGCATAGAGGTATAGGCAGACGTTTGTCATGTATTTTGGAGAGAGGTTTAATTCTGCCTCGTAATTCATAACTATTATGAAATACACGAAGGCTGGTAAAATTTGGGACTTATAGTTTTTGAAATAAAACTGTAACGAATACAGTTCTGTCAGGCTTGTCATTCTTGAGGGATTTCTGTTTATTTTTGAGTTGCTTCAGTTGATTTATTGCTTGGTAATGCCTATTTGAAAGAAACTTCATTCAGATAAACTTTATTTTGGAATGCTTTGTCTTACTATGTATTGAATGAAAATTGTTGTGCCGGTGAGCCCTTAATATTTTTTTTTTCTCCAGAAAGTTCTTTTTCAGTAACCAAATGTCCTTTGGGAGAAAACTGGTCCTGCTGTAGCATTTGAGACCTTGACCTTAGCAACTCTTGGCTGGTGCTTGTTTACTACAGCTGCAGCCTATGTGTGTACAGAAAGGGAAGGGACTGCAAACACTCGTGGGCTCACTCTGCCCAGGCCAAGGGAAAAACAAATCAGGATGCTTGACGTTCATTCATTCCGAAGAGTTTACTTCCCCACCTCCTGTGAAAAGTAAACAAGCACTTTAACAGACTGAGTGAGTTTTAAATGTTATATCATGAAGCAGGCTGTTAACAGCTTAATGAAATAATTTGGTCTTAAACATAGGTGGGTTTTTTTTGTGTGTTTTTTTGTTTTTGTTTTTGCTTGTTTTTCCTTTCTGCAGAGAGGACACAAGTGCTTAGGCCTTTAGGCCTACACTGAGGGCATCTTGAACTGCAGCCAGTATTGGTTAATCTAGACTATTGAGTAACCTTACCAGTGAGGTGATATTGTTAAATAGTTGAACATATAAAGGCCCGGGACGTTTTTACCATCGCATGAGATGGAAAGTGTGGAATTTCATATTTATGTGAATTTCATTGGTACAATCCCATTAAATTGGAGGTGCTAAAGGTTTTCTTTGTATATAGGAGAAACTATCTTCTTAGAGTGTTAACTTCATAAATGCAACTGTCAGTGATTTATGGATTAATGCAACATAGTTGTATTCTACAATACTAGAGGCACAGACTCATTTTTAAAGTTGCTTTTTTTTTTGGCTAAGGAAGTCTCCCCACTCCTGCTTCCATGTTGATTAATGAACAGGAGCTAAAAAACCCCCACACTGATTTATTTAGAATCGACACCCATGATTATCTTATTCTTTGTTGAAAACAACTTTCATTTTTATAAATAACTCCTAAAATAGGTTGCAGTTGCTTACCTTTATCATTTACATTTTGAAAATACTGTATGCCAATAGAGTAGAAATATATGTATTTTTGCCTGGTGTCCGTTTCTGTGTGAAATTTTTCTTTTTATTTTTCAGCCTACAAATTACGCACAGCTTTCAATCTTAAGTATGTACAAAATGTAAGGGGAAAAATATTAACATTAAATCACTGGCAACACCCTATAAACCACAGCCTTAACTCATCCACCACAACCACAGCTCTCAAAATCAAAATGCTAGTAAACAGATGGGCCTTGCCCTGTGCCCAGGAGGTCAACAGCCTTAGGCTCCGTGAGATCTGCTGTGTTTCTAGATCCCAAACCGGTCCAGGGAACTGTTTGACTTCAACAGACCAGAATTCATTTCCAGGGCCTAGACCGGCCACACCCCATCTGATGTCAGCTTTTGAGTTCTTGTGGTGGAGAACACATGCTGCGGATTAAATGGTTGCTTTCTCTATATATTCTCAGTAATTACGTTACAAAAGGATTTTTCGGCTTTGGGTGTTTATTGTCATAAAAGTGGCTACTTGAGTAGTCCTGTTGCTCCATAAAAATTTGTTTTGGGCTGGCAGTAGATTGCAAGATACTCACCCAAAAAACTCTGCTCTGGTATGGCCTTTCTTCCTATCTTTTTTTTTCAACTTAAAGTCCTCCTCTTCTGTGGCTAATTCCATGGTTTATATTTTTGGATATTAGCATAACTGGACCGGTCCGAACAGTATCGCTTTTTAGGTACAGATGGTGTAGTAGAAAGCTCTTGCCGCACTGCCCTCGGGTGTGGAAGGCGAGAACCAGTTGCAGAGCTCTGGGACAGTTTTCCCAGTCCCATCAGAGTAACAGAGGCTGCCCCTATTATGGCAGACTGGCCAAGACAGCCAGGAATTGTGTTCCCATTGCTACATTCACCACACTTAGGGGTTTTCAGAATAATTCCTGTCATGATGTATATGTGTAGTTATATACGTGTGTGTGTGTGTTTGCTATTTTATGTATGTACCTGTGTGTATACATACACAGTATTTATATTTATGATTGCGAATTTTTATATTGTCTTTCTATGTTGGTATATATACCCCCCATGCCACATACACTAAGACCAAGAATTATAGTAAAAAGCCCCCTCATCGAGTAAAGAGGGAAAGCACACAGTTTGTTTTCTCAAAGCCTGTGTTTAGTAATATTATTCTCACTTTTTTTTTGATTTTAGCAAGCAAACTTACAGCATGAAAACAGCCCTTCCCCAAAGAAAACAAACCAGTAAAACTAAATGACAACCAAGAGGAAGGATTGTAAAAAATGAAATAAATAACTCTAATGAAAATGTTTATTCATTTCCCAATCAGGTATCTGCTAAGAGTATATATCCTGTTGTCTGGATGGATTTAAGGGGCAGAGATACTACAGTTTGAATTAGGGGCTCTTGCCTTCTAACTCTGAATGACCTTGGTCACGTTTCATAATCTCTCCCGAGTCTAGAAAATGGGAAAAATAATGTGCATTTTACAGGGTTGTGGTGAGGGTGAAAGGAGATAGTGTGGGTACAAATCCCTTTGTAAAACTAGAAAGTACTGGTGTGGCAACCGATTGGACAGGGAAACC